TATATATATATATATATATATATATATATATATTTTTTTTTTTTTCCGGTACGCGGGTCTCTCACTGTTGTGGCCTCTCCCGCTGTGGAGCACAGGCTCCGGACGCGCAGGCCCAGTGGGCAGGGCTCACGGGCCCAGCCACTCCGCGGCGTGTGGGATCTTCCCGGACCGGGGCACGAACCCGTGTCCCCTGCATTGGCAGGCGGACTCTCAACCACTGCGCCACCAGGGAAGCCCTAATAGGTCAGAGATATATTTAATAGGCGTCTCAACTAAAACACATCATAGGCAGAGCTCTTGATTTCCTTCTTCCAGTCTTCCCAGTCCCTCTAAATGGTATCACCATTCATCCAAGTTCTTAGGATAAAAATCGAACATGCTTCCTTGAGACTTTTCCTCAAGCTCCATATCAAATCCATCAGTAAGTCCTGTTAGCAGTACTTTCAGAATATATACCAAATCCAACCACTCCAGCTCCACTATTACTTCAATCCAAGCCACTATCATCTCATTTGGAGTACTACATCAGCTCCCAACTGGTCTCCTGGCTTCCACTCTTACCCCTGGCTCTCTACACGGCAGCCAGTGATCTTTTAAAAGTATACATCATATTATATCACTCCCTGTTCCAAACCTACCAATGTGATCCCAAACTTATAACAAAATCCAAGCCAAATGCCCATAAGCCTTTACCAGATGAGGTCATTATGGATTTTTCTGATATCTTATACTTCCACTCTTCTCTTTACTCACTTAGCTCCAGCCACGCTGGCCTTTTTTCTGTTCCTTGGTCACACCTCTAAGCTTGTTCTCACTTTTGAGCTTTTGCACTTGTAATTCCCTATGCCAACAATGCTCTTCCCGCAGATCTGCTCAAATGTCACTCCCCCAGGAGTTCTTTCCTGACTACCCTATCTTATCTTATCCTACAGCCACTATTCCCCCAATCCATCATTCTCAAGACCCTGCTTTATTTTTCTTCATAGCACCTAACATCGTACTGACACTGTTTCCCTGTTTATGATTTCCCCCCAAGAATGTAAGCTTCATGAGATGAAGGGCCCTGCTGTAACCCAGTATCTAGAACACCACCTAGTACACAGTAGGAGTTAAGTATTTGTAAAATGAATAGATGAATGAAAAATTAAAAAGAGTGTTAAGACTAGAAAGAGCTACTATGATGCATTAAGGAATTTATCTCAAAGCAATGAAAAACCATTTGTAGATTCTGAACATGGGAGTGGCAAGTTAACATTTGCTTTTTGCACACCTCACTCTGGCTGTTGTGAGAATTCAAGGTAGGAGAACAAGAGCAGAAAGAGAGACCAGTGAAGAAACTATCGTAGAAGTAAGAGTTAGTGGCTTAAACTGGACAGTTAGTAGTATGAACATTAGACATATTACAGAAAACATCACCAGGACTGGACCTGGCGAATAACTGCACGCGACCCCTCGACTGAGCTTTTCCTAACCCTTGCGGGCTGCTCCTCGGTGCCCCCCGCCCCCTTACTGTATTCACGCTTCTATTACAGCACCTCACACTGCACACCACTTCTAGTCTATGCATAACTAGACTTTTCCACTAGATTCCTCCAGGGCAAGAACGGTATCGGGCATCCCTAAAATCTCTCTTGAATGAAGGTCACCTCAATAATGCCTACTGAATAAAGGTCAACCCCATTTGGTGGCATAACTAGCCCTGGAATTCAGAGCTGTAGTTTATTCTAGGACACTTGTACGCTTCTCTTAAATTTCGGAAAAATCCATGGTTCAACACTGCCCAACAAACACTACGAGCACCAGCAACCAGAGAGAGACCTGTGCCGGTGGCCTCAGGAGGGAGCATCTGAAAGCGCAGGTCACGCAGAAGGGAGGGAGAAAGCTCGCGGCGCCCAAAGGACCTGCAAACAGAAATTGGCTGCCAAGAACCAGGCGACACTCCGCACAGAGGGCAGACCCACATCCGCGGCTTTCCTACTAGGCGGGCCAGCGACAGACAGGCAGAGGACGTACCGGCCTCCCTGAGGTAAGGTAGCTCTGGCTCCGCCACCGCGGCGGCCATCATGGGCCTGTATTCCGCCCCCTCATTTCCCCAAAAGCCCGGAAGCGACGGGGCAGACACTCACACGGGCTTGGTCTCGGAGAGCGAGTGGCCGGAGACACAGAGGTGGAAAAGGCTCGAAGGGTTCTGGCCCGCGGCTGCAGAACCAGGGAGGCAGAGAGCCGAGCGGCCGCCATGGCTGCGAAGACGGCAAGCGGGAGAGGACAAGCGCGCTACCGGGTCAAGGGGCGGGTCTGAGGCCCTATTGCGCAGGCTCGCCGCGTCTTGCCCCGCCCCTCGGAGGGAGAAACAGAAAACATGTGGGCCTGCGAATTCAGAGCCCGAGTGAAACGTGCAAGAAAATACCTCCCCGCATAGAGAAAGTAATGAAAAGAAAGTAAAAAGATTTTTTTTTAAAAAATCGAAGCAGTCAGTCCAAAGACAATTGTAAATAAGGACCATAGGGATGGGGGAAATGTGGCTTACAGAGGGCAGGTGAGGGCAGAACCTCAGATGGCCCAAGAGTCAGGTAGTCTACCCTAAACCCCTGCTTCTTCGCAATTGCTGCTTTTCTGCACTTTCTTGAATTAAAGGAAGTCTTCAGCTAGTGCAAGTGATATGCTTTGGGGAGAGAGGCAGTATCCAGTAGTAATAAAAGGATGGCCTCTTGAGCCAGACTAGTACTTGAGTTTAAAACTTGACTTCACCATCTTTAGGATGTGTGGTCCTAATCAATCAAACGTCTGGGTACAATACTAGCATACACCGAGCGCCCCGTGCGCATAGGCTGCAACTGCTATCAATGATTTGGTTAGCTTGTTTGCAGATCAGGTTAGAATTACAAAAAGGCAGAACTCATCAGGACCTAGAAAATAATGGTTATCCTTTAATGAGCGCTCTTATTTTCTACCATAGAATGGATTAACATACAACTCTTGATAAAATTATCCTCTCTTCTTTTCAATCGGTATGTATAATACTCAAAGCACAAAAGTATGATAACAACTGGGAACAAACACAACTGTCTCTTGGTAAGCATACCAAGTAGAGCAGAGCTGTGCCGGTGTCCCAGGGTATTCTACCTGTGAACATCCGGTGTGCCATGGGCATCAAGCAGTATGTGGCATGATAAGGACAAATACTTGTAATAATCACCATCCTCATCTTTTCCGACCTCTTACTATCCTATTATTGCTTCAAAGCAGAAGTATGGTGTATTAGGTGTGTATTTGTTTGCTAGGGCTGCTGTAACAGAGTACCAGAAACTGGGTAACTTAAAAAAGAATTTTGGGCTTCCCTGGTGGCGCAGTGGTTGAGAGTCCGCCTGCCGATGCGGGGGACATGGGTTCGTGCCCTGGTCCGCGAGGATCCCACATGCCGCGGAACGGCTGGGCCCGTGAGCCATGGCCGCTGAGCCTGCGCGTCCCGAGCCTGTGCTCCGCAACGGGAGAGGCCACCACAGTGAGAGGCCCGCGTACCGCAAAAGAAAAAATAAAAAAGCATAACTTTATTTTCTTACAGTTCTAGAAGCTAGAAGTCCAAAATCCAGGTGTTGGCAAGGGATGGTTCATTCCGGATGTTTTGAGGGAGAATCTGTTTATGCCTCTCTCCTGGTTTCTGATGGTTGCTGGCCGTTTTTGGCTTTCTTTGGCTTGTAGACACATCACTCCTATCTCTACCTCCATCTTCACATGGTATTATCCCCTTTCCTCCATTTTTAAGATTAAAAGCATGGCCTTTAAATCAGATGGATGTGGGATTTGAATCCAGGCTCTGTTTCTTTGTGATCTTGGGCAAGTCCACCTAACCTCTCTGAACTTCAGTTTCAGAGAAAATGGGAATAATATTATCTTCTTGAGGACCACAGTGATTAGGTGAGTAATGTTTCAGAAGGCATAATATAAAGGTGGCCGTTAGAATTAAGCTCAGGGTCAACGCAGCAGCCACTTATTCTCTCAATTTTGTATATTTTAGTAGGATAAAGTACAAGGCCTATCCCATAGAAATTTATGGACAAGTGAGTATGAATCCTTATAGAACTAGTTCATATCCAGAGACTTCTCAATTTCTGAGCAAGATGCTAAGAGACTTAGTTCCTTGTTCAAACTGCTTATGCTTTCGTTTTACTCTCTCCCTAAGAGTAAAGTAGATCGATATGACTGGAATTAGAAAAGCCAGGAAAATACTTATTGTTTTCCCTGATATCAAGTACTATGAAGTTCGTTCTATATTGAAAGTTAAAAACTCACCTGTAATGCTCTCAACGGGCAATAATGCTATCTGTTTCATGCAGTGTATAGAGTAAAGCATGTGCTGTCATGTAAATAGGAGTTAGTAAGAATAACGTACTCTTTCGGTTAGAAAAGCTCTTAGAGGTGCAATCACTCAATCATGATGGAAATCTTTTCATTAGCCTTAGTGACCAAATAACCCAGTACACTGTAGAAGCTAGGCTGGTTTCATGGGCTTGTGACATATACTTAGAGGAGCCCTGTGCTTGGCTTAATGCTCTGCTGTCCCTGTCTTGAAATTTTTAATAGTTTTTAAACAAAGGGCTCCGTATCTTCAGTTTGCACTGGGCCCCACAAATTATGTCGTCAGCTCTGTGTAGATCAATTTTAAATATTAAGACTTTTAATAATTGGTATTTGAAAACTGCATTAATCCAATGACTTTGTCAGAGAGCTATTTTTAATCAAAACTAACTTTATAAAAAGTGAGCGAACCAAACTTCCAGTCATGAGATAAATCGGTACTTAATGATGTGATGCACAGCATGATGGCTGTAGTTAACACTGCTGGATTATATTTGGAAGCTGCTAAAACATAGATCCTAAAGGTTCTCCTCACATGGAACACTTTTTTTTTCTTTTTTTTGCATCTATATGAGATGATGGATGTTGACTAAACTTATTGTGGTTTCCATTTCATAATATACGTAAGTCAAATCATTATGCTGTATAAACTAATACAGTGCTGCACGTCAGTTATATCTCAATAAAACTGGAAAACACTAACTCAAAAATAAATAAATGTGCACTTACAGAAAAAAGTGAGTGAACAAAGTACGTCTATTCACAAGCATGGTAAATGGACAATATGCAAATATCCAGGTATGCAACTCAAATATCCATCAAAACAGTATAGATTAAATACATTATGGTGTATACATACAACATAGAATACTACTTAGACACATACATCTTAATCCCAGTTGAACATTAGAATTATCAATACTTTAGGAGGTTAAAAAAACCTGTCTAGGCCTCTCTCTGAGATGCTGGTCAATTGGTCTAGGTGTGTTTGCAAACTTGGTGGGTTTTTTTGCTTTTGTTTTAAGTTTCCCAAGTCAATCTAATATGCAGGCAGGACTGAGAACCACTGATGTCAGCCTTATAAAGGATGAAGTGGATATAAATGTATTAGCATGGAAATTTTTCCACAATATATAGTTTTTAAAATGCAGGTTACAAGACACTTATAGATATAATTCCATTTGTGTAAAATACTTTCCATACGCACTACACATTCTTGAAGGGTAAACAGTAAACTGGTATGGGGTGTTGGTGAGACTCCTGAAGACTTAACTTTCTATACTTCTGTACTTAAATTTTTACATCAAAATGCAGATTTAAAAAAATGAGAATACAGTATTTTTAAAATCAGCCAATGCTTCACATCTTTATTTTCATTTTGAAAAACATGGTGAGTCTTTGACATATCTTCCAGCTATTTATTTTTTTTAATTTATTTTAAAAAATGTATTTATTTTTGGCTGCGTTGGGTCTTCGTTGCTGTGCGCGGGCTTTCTCTAGTTGCGGCGAGCGGGGGCTACTCTTCGTTGCGGTGCGTGGGCTTCTCATTGCGGTGGCTTCTCCTGTTGTGGAGCACGGACTCTAGGCGCCTGGGCTTCAGTAGTTGCGGCACGTGGGCTCAGTAGTTGTGGCACACGGGCTTAGTTGCTCCACGGCATGTGGGATCTTCGCGGACCAGGGCTCGAACCCGTGTCCCCTGCATTGGTAGGCGGATTCTTAACTACTGCACCACCAGGGAAGTCCCTCTTTCAGCTATTTATAACACGAATGTTTACAATTTGTATTAGACTTTTCAAAATTTTGGTAGACTTACACTTCAGTATAGAAAATGTTGTCACAGGCATTGTCTCCTTTGAATTAGTTGAAGTCATTCACATTTTACAGATAAGAGAACGAAGAGTTAAACCCCTAGACTCTGCTCTTACGAGAATTGGGACTCAAACCCACATCTGATTCCAGGTTGAAAACTCTTCTTACTCTGTTACACCACCTTCTGGATAGCTTACACTACACAGCTTTGCTGCAGACAGGGGTCACTATACACAAGGAAACGTAAGTTGACCGAGTATCATAACTTGCCAGGCGCATTCCAAGTAACAATAATTCTTGCTTGACAACTTGAAGAGATGTCTCTCGTGCCTATTTGTCCCTGCTTATCGAAGACAGAGGGCTAAAATGCTTTCCTTGAACTTTTGGTTTCCTGGAATGAAGGAATGTCATATTTAAGAAGTTTGGAAATCAGCGTTCTAATTGTGATTATATTTCATCCAATCATCAGCCAATGACGTAAGCTTTACCGTCAACTGCTCCTAATCTGACCTCTTCACCCCTCCTCCTCTGCCACTTTGGTCCAGGCTACTCTTTTCTCTCCTCTGAATTATTATAACAGTTTCTTAGCTGCCCCCACCCCGGGATCTGCCACTCTTTTCTCCCTGCAATCTAGTCTCCACCCAGCAATCAAGTGAGGTTTTTAGTGTGTAAGTCAGATCAAGGCATGTCTGTCCCCATATCACTCAGAGTAAAATCCAGAGTCCTTACAAATATGATCTGCTTCTCCTGTTTGCTGGCTTCTTCTCCGACCTCATCTCCTAACAATCTCCTTCCGGGTCACTCTGCTCCATCCACACATCCTCTGTTGCTATGCCTCAAACACATCAACTCCACTCCCGTGTCTGGCCATTGGCACCTGCAGTTCCCTATGCCTAGAACACTCTTTCCCAGATACCTGCACTGATGCTCTCTCTCCATTCAGATCGCTGGTAAATTGCCCCCTTCTCTCTGAGGCTTCCCTTAACCATGTCATATAAAATAGCATCTCCTTCACTCTCTCTCCCCTTACCCATACTTAATTTTCCTTTACCACCCCTGATATTTATTTAAATATGCATTTAAAATATATGTGCATATATTTGTTTATTGTTTATCTTCCACCATTAAGAGGAAAACTCCCTGAGAGTGGGGACTTTGTGGCAGGGCATGGAACAGGGCCTACCAAGTAATAGGTATTTAATAATCATGTGGAATGAACTGATCTTCCATGTACACTTTTAAGCATTTTTTGTTTTGTTTTTGTTTTGCTTCTGTCCTCTAGAAGCATAGAGGGAAAATTATGTTTCCTTCCCTACAGTGCTGTTATAATCCCACCCAGGCTTTTAAGTAAAGATGTTTTTTATACGTGAATACACTTTCCTTACTGCAAATGCTAAACAGATGTTAATCATTATTACGAGGGATAGTTAAATGGGTCACTGTGTTTAAATCATAGGTAAAGCTAACACTTGAGTCCCAAAGGGATCCCACCAAGGTCCTCTCTGTGCAGAGGAAGCAGCTTGGGATGAGGTGGGATCAGGGTAGAGAGGAAGAGAGCCAGGCTAGGTTTTGCTTAGGAGTCCTGAAACGAAACCGGTTTTGTAAATGTAATTAAACCTGTTCTACCCACTTCCCACGCACAGAAGTCAAAACACGCTTTACACTTTCAAATGCTAGACTTACTCTATCAACCACACAATTTGTTTTTCAAATCGAACTTTAAGGGTGACTTTATTATCCTCTTTTCCCACTTTAATTGTTGAATAATAAATAAAAGATTAAGCTAAATTGTTACATTTTCCCTGAAATACAGGCAGGATTTTTTCTGTCCATAATCATGATACTAAGATGTTTTGACCCAGGTGATGGTTTTCATTCAATGTGGGGTCAGGGGAGAGGAGAAAAAAGAAATCCCATGAGGGGATGATGCAAGAGGATGAACATGCTTATTAAAATAAAATATTTTTTTCCTTTTTATCTTACAGGCCAGTCTCATCTCACATAGCCAGTTCAGAGGATGCTAATACAAACCTTGCCCACCTCTCTCAGCCCGTCTTTCTTACTCAGACAGTTTCCAAGCAGTTCCCTGATGGAGACACAGTCTTCAGTTTCCAGGATGAATCGTGCCACGGCCGTCCCTCCCGGCAGATGGCCCCTCACTGTCTCACGTTTGATACTGTCCAGGACAACAGTATGTCTGATGTCCTTAGGCTTTCCTGGCACACCAAAGATGATAAACAGGCCCAGACAATCCTCTCCTATCAAGTTACAGAATTCTTCCAGCTTATCAAACCTACTTCTATTGCTGAAAGACCCCTCTGCCCTGGGTTCTGGATTGGAGGGGTCACAAGGCTCAGATTCCACGGGAGGAAGAGAAGACAGCTGTAGAGGGGTCTGTACTGCCAGCTGGAGCCTTATTTGCTTATCGGATGCCCAAAATGTCCAAATCCAGTTCGCCCCAAACAGTAAGGCTTGGTGTTTGGTCATCTTGGTGGTAGTAAGCCAGTTGTCAATGCCTTTTTCATGGCAGAAAGTGACGAAGTGGATTAAGAAGATCTCATTGAGAGTGTTTGGAGCTGGGCATAGATTAGTCAGCGTGTCTTCAAATCCAAGATACTCCTTCAGTTTCTGGGCTGCATGGACTATAGCTCCACTGACCACCTCACAGATGCCGAGAACCTCTTTGCCGTCCTTTAGAGCCAACTGCTGCGATGGTTTTTGTCCCGTTTTCCCTGCACCCACTCAGCACTACTTCCGCATATCAAACAGGCGAACTGTCCTTTCTCAGAGTAAGAGTTTTGCAGTGAAGTCACATCTGCTAACATGGTCCCAGTTTTCTAACTCTTCAGGGAAGCATATATACACACAGCTAAACAGACATGTAGGTCTTCCTGTTGGGTGCGTTGTACTCATACAGATTCCTGCTGGTTTATTAAGTTAGAGATATTAACTTTCACAAAAAAACCATCTGTCTTTTACTTGTATTCGCTCTACTTTTAATATTTGGTAACCCCTTCCAAGACATGTTTCCTTTTTCCAAATTTTAGTTTAATTAAAAATAGTACTTAGTTCTTTAAAGAACCATACATATAGAACTCACTTCCTTCTGCAACTAACTTCTCCAAACCTGTAGGCAAGTCATTTCCCTTTGCTTTTCTGGTATCTCTCTGCCATGAGTCCTCATCCCCCAGCTCAGCTGCCTGTGTTTCCTTTCATACAGAAGTTTCTCAAGCAAAGGCCTCAAATTTCTATGTGTTGACACATGCTATAAATCCTACTCAAACAAATTTATGGGAGTTTGTGAACTATAAAGAGTTGGTGTTACTATTCTCTATAGCAGAAATAAAGGCTACTGGTTATTCCAAGCAAAGGAAAAGAAAGTAACAGACGATAAAAATATGAGGCAATTATCAATTGACTTTATTTCTTTTCATATGGTAATACCAGCAGTGCATAATATTTTGTAAATAAAATATATATCATCAAAAAAATTTAACCATATCACATATCATCAGTGATGTTACATTGTCCTGAATAAAGAATACTTGGCATCTATAACTGTCTCCTGGTATTTTTAACCAGGTTTGAATAACAAATTGTTTTTCAAATGGTGACACATATTCACATTAAAATAAAACACAAATACGGTAAGAGTCCAATATGGTTACCAAATAATGAATGATAGGGGGCAAAAGATTATTATTAGCATTGAAGTATTTTAGTTATGAATAAATAGTAATTTAGTATCACAGGTTCCTTGATGAAAAGCTTGGTAACTTGTTAGCTTGAAAGATCATACCACTGACATTCAAATACAGTTTATTAAGCAAGTCCACTGACATGTACTGAACTACCCACCCTATGCCAATTTGTGAAAACCTGTCTTTACCACCATTGGCTATCATGAGTAATGATGAAGTACTGAATAAAAAATAGAATATTCTTTCTAATGCCCCTAGAAAATAATAAACATAATAACAGTTTTTGTTGCAGCTTTCTATTTTCTTTATAAAGAATGTCTGGGACCTGTGCTACAGAAAAACATGAACTGCATTTTATCATCACAATATAGCCATTATGAAACTAATTTTGCAGGCTTTGAGTTACTGAACTCTGATTGAGACAAAATATTCAGACAAGTGTTCAGCTTTTTAAAAAAATCCCGTTCACTAATAGCCTGAGAAATGTACAATTAATAACATTAGGAAGACTGTCAGTATTTTGATGTAATGATATATTTAGCAAAGAGGAAGATAAGAAGCTTAATACTGTAAAGGGCTTTGTTTTGTTTTGTTTGTTTCTTCGGAAATTACCTCTACAAAATTTGGGGGAGTTTCTGAATGCATTCAAGTTAATAGTATTTAAATGTCCCTCAAGTTCTCCCTTATGAGGTAAGAGGATCCAAGATTAAGGTTGAAATTCTTAAAAAGCTATTCAACAATTTTGTGATGTATCATCAAAGAAGGGGTATGTCATACATGCTAATTTAGTCTGCATGATCAACATCATTAAATTCAGTTTTGGAGAAAGAAAGATCATTTATGACCTCTCCAAGAACCAGCTGGTATACGAAAATTTTGATCACTGTATTTTTTTTAATGTGATCTTTTTTACCATCTTCCTTATGTCACAAAATAAAAGTTCTATGTTCTATGTACTAAGTATATACATATATTTAGAAAAATATATAAAAATGGGACAATATGTGGAGGCACGTGGAGGTGTGGCTGGCATTTAGTGGGCACACTGAATGCTTAAAGAAATTCCACATGTTGATTTTGAAAGCATATAACGTCCTGCTTCAAGGGCTGCAGTGCTGTCAAAAATCATTCCCTCACTGGTTACTGCTTCCCAAATCCTCCACGCTGTGAATGTAGATGGAAACACTATGGCAAAATACTCATATTAAATGCAACACTTTAAATATAATATATCACAGATTATTTTTCTTTACATTAAATAGAGGAAAAACAATTATACTCTCATTCACCAGTGTCTTATTTGTCATGGCAACTTTAGAATCGGCACCTATTCCCTGCTTTCCATTTCCACTTCTAAACGAGAAGTGGGAAAGATGAACAATATACAATCTGTTGCTTATTGTAGATACTGTGACCGTTTGAGAAATAAAGTGGAACAAAGATGAAGGGTTCCCCGTGCTCATCCAGGTGCTGCGGTCAGACATTTGAGTCTTCATCGGTGATGCTGGCGCTGGGGGAACGGGCAGCAAAATCTTTAAACATCTCGTCTTCCTTTAACATGTGCTGGAAGACAAGGAGGTGGGAGTGATACACACCGAGTGCCATGCACTCTGCACCACCCGCTCTCCACTACACAAGCAGTCCTTTGGGGTCACTGTCAAACTTCTTTTTAGAAGAACATTTGAAATTCGTTTTACAACTTACGGTTAGATTGTTGATGCCCTCGGAGAAGGCGCCTATCTGTCTCACTGTCCCTTCTGAGTCTTCCATCTGCAATGAACATACCATGACATGACTACTCATTTGCAATAATTTCAAGGAAAGTACAGCAAAATGAACACAAATCTAAGAAGAAATAGTGCAAGTGGTACTGAACGGGATAGGAGCAACAGAACACTTCTGTTGCATCTCCTCCCACTAATGCAACTGGATGTTAAAGATGAGAAGAAACACTTTACTGGCACATGTAGCCTAATGCTCTGATGTTGACAATGGCACCAGCAGACTGTTAATTAGAAGGCAATATTCAGATGCATGCCCTCATACTGAAAAGGCTAAGGAGTATGAGCTGTCCATTCCTGACTTGTTTTAATACATAGATTTCCTTAATACCAAGACGGTATAACATAGGTAAAAATAGCACAGGCTTTGAAACCAGCCGGGCAGGTTAGAATCCCAGTGATTCTACCAGCTCTTCTATCTTGTGTAAGTTACTTAACCATTCTGTGTCTCAGTTTTCTTATCTCTAAAATGAGGATAACAATACTCCCCATGTATTAGGATTACCCTGAACATTAACATGTTACATGTTTAGGGTAGTGCCTGGGATGTAGAAAGCAATCTGTTAAGTGCTCACTTTTATCATTATATTATTATCTTTATTTGTAGGCATTTAAGGAAAATGTCTTTTGTTAGTAGACACAGTGCACTAAGTTTTCATTTAGTGTTTCAATACTGGAAGAACTTTTTTTTTGTGTGGTATGCGGGCCTCTCACTGTTGTGGCCTCTCCCGTTGCGGAGCACAGGCTCCGGACACGCAGGCTCAGCGGCCATGGCTCATGGGCCCAGCCGCTCCATGGCATGTGGGATCTTCCTGGACCGGGGCACGAACCCGTGTCCCCTGCATCGGCAGGCAGACTCTCAACCACTGCGCCACCAGGGAAGCCCAATACTGGAAGAACTTTAAAACAGGTATATAGGGTTACGTTCACCTGCTCTAACCGGTCCAAGTCGTCCTCATCATACAGGTGCATGTCCAAACCAGGCTTAAATCCTTTCTTAGATGTACCTCCTGAGGCCTGTCCCAATTCCATTGGACAAACATATTCCTCCCCATCTTCCTGTTTCTTCTTTCTCAGATTCCCAAAATTGCTGAAGGTAAGTTTCTTTGGCTTTAAAAGAAAAGCAAACAAAAACATCCAGGGACTTGATAAAATTCATACGAAAAGGACCAATAACACGTATAATTTAATTATTCACACTACAGAGAAAAGCAATTGGATGATTAAGTGGGTATAAGAAAAACAAAGGCATCCTAGGCATATGACTGACATCCAAATGTGATAAAGGATCCTTATTATGACTCTCAGAAGATTAGCCTTGTCCTCCTTATTCATACCAACTAGCTGGGTAGTCACTGTGAAAAGCAAAATATGCCAAGAGCCTTAGTTTTGATAGACAGACCTTAATGCAATGAGATTTCTCAGGGCTGAATTCAATTTTGCAAGGTTTTCGAATCTAAGATCAGCAAAAGAAAATGTCCATTACTGTATTTTCTTTTTGGGTAAGGCTATGATTATCCTGTATGCCTGTTATGCTTCCATAACAGGACTGGTAACTGCTGAAAAGAAACCTGCTCTACTGGAGAGAGAATTTCCAGTGAGAGAAGAGAAACTCCATCTTTTCACTGGATAGTCCCTGAGACTACATGTTAAAAGGAGACGGTGATCAGGCTGACGCTGAGAATTTAAATAGAACAGAATCTCTCAGAGGTTTCAAATCTGGTACATCTTTTTTTTTTTTTGCAGTACGCGCTGTCGTGGCCTCTCCTGTTGCGGAGCACGGGCTCCGGACGCGCAGGCTCAGCAGCCGTGGCTCACGGGCCCAGCCGCTCCGCGGCATGTGGGATCTCCCCGGACCGGGGCATGAACCCGTGTCCCCTGTATTGGCAGGCGGACTCTCCACCACTGCGCCACCAGGGAAGCCCCTAAATCTGGTACATCTTTTTTCGTTGTTTTTGTTTTTGTTTTTGTGGTACGCGGGCCCCTCACCACTGTGGCCCCTCCCGCCGTGGAGCAGAGGCTCCGGACGCGCAGGCCCAGCGGCCACGGCCCACGGGCCCAGCTGCTCCGCGGCACACGGGATCCTCCCAGACCGGGGCACGAACCCGCGTCCCCTGCATTGGCAGGCGGACTCTCAACCACTGCGCCACCAGGGAAGCCCCTGGTACATCTTTTAAGGGAGCTAAAGAGGAAGTGTCGGGTAGGTAAATGTGGTTTTAAAAAAAAATAAAAGTTTGTGGAGGAGCCACATTTGTGGAGGAATCAATAAACCCCACCTCTACATTCCGTTAGTTGAGATAACGGACTCAGAAGAGCTCACGGAAGAGTGATTTAAAGAAGAAAAAGTGATCTGAATTTGGTATGATCCATGAATCCAGGTAAATCTGGAGATACCCATTCTCTGCTGGTCTACTGTGGATCATTTCTTAATTATCTTTTCCTAGCTTGCAAGGCTGGTTAATGATAAGTATGAGAAGAAATCCTCTTGTGCTTGATTTATCCATAGGATAACAGCAATCAATACTGGGCCCAAGTCATGGGCTTTCTGCACTGGCAAAACATCAATTATAGAAGCCAACATCAGGTTCCTTATACTGTTAACTCTAATAAAATAAATGATTTGAGCAAAGATTACCCCCAGAAGGAAACCTTCAAAAATGCATTTTCCTAATTACTCTTAAAGATGCATTTACCTGCAACCCATCCACAATCAGAAAATGGGATAGCCAGGTAACAGTCAAAACTGAGCCTTTGCTAAAGGCAACTATTAAATGGTAGGAGCTTGAACCAACCTTCACTTTGGCAGTAGCTGTTAAAAGTACATAATCGGGTAACTCCATGGCATCCCGTTTCTGGCGCTGGGCCTCAGCACCGATCAGAAGGTTGAAATGAGTGGCCAAATGTCTTCGCAGCAGGGTCTTGCTTGGTGGGATGTTCAGTAACTGAGCCATTGTTTCCACATTAAAACGAGGTTCTAGAACCTACAGGAAAAATTAAGATTCTTTAAGACACCAGGTATCATACATGTCTGCATTGTGCTTTATAATCTGCAAAGCTCTCTCATTTAGTTACCTCCAATGGCCCTCTCAACAGCCCAGTGAGATACACTATGGACTTTGATCTTCAATTTAAATATCTTTTCTTTGTTTTGCCTAAGCTAGTGAGAAGTAGAGCTGGTCCTGACATCCAGGCATTACAAAGTTGGGGCTTCTGCCTCTCTGAAGTGGTACCTTTGGGAGCCAACTCCTTATGCAACATCAACGTGCAGAAATATAGTCTGTATCTCTGCAGGGATTTTAAAACATGACCATATGAGAGCCAGTGGCCAGATGTTATCCAACATGAAAGAGGATAATAAAAGAGAAATGGGTTTAAATCCAATCTAGAATTATATGATATAAATAAAAAACATGGGACAGAATACTCTGAAAGTAAAGATTCACTAGAAATGTTGCAGGAGAGTTCAGTTAGATGACTTTAGGATCATGACCAGCCAACAGGTAATAGCCTACTCATTAGACTAATGGAAACTCAATGATAAGAAGTTGGTTTTAAATGAAAACAGAGTTTTACCATGAGCCCACCATGGACACCACTGCCTCTGAGATTGGGGGCATATTCCGCCAAGTCCACGGAGCGCAGCCACTCCATCACGCGATGATTGGTCCACTGCTGAACCTCTGATGGGGTGATGCTATTCTGTGGGAACAAACCACCACCCAGAGCTTCAGTTACTGACTATGGGGTTCCAAATATTAAACCTGCATGTTCATTCTGAAGATCCTGCCTCATGGAGCGGAGTTGTTCTACATCCCACTAAATGTTGATAGAGAAAAAGGTAAAAAGGTGTTTGCTAGTTTGAATTCTCTTTTAAGGAATCTGTGTCCCAGAGTTTTAAGTTTCTTGCACACTAATAAAGCAGTGTTTTAGGAAAGGTAGTCTTTACAGTGATACTTAACTTTGGGGCTTAAGGAGGCAAGAAAATAAAATACACCCAAGAAAGGAGGAAGGAAAACTAAAACACAATCCTTGGCTTCAGTTATACAGGTAGAACCATCATGGGGGGAAAGGAAGGAATATAGGAAGACAAAGCCTAAGAAGTAAATGAGGCTGGATTTGAGGCTCTGAGGGAACCAGACGCTTTCCTTCCCTGAAGCCTCCAAGAGGAAATGGGTCTTAGTGTCTCCACACGGGCAGTCACATGCACGGAATGTGTATGCTGTGTAAACCTCAACCTCAGATGCTACCTCGTCAGAGGGTCGCCTCCGCAGACAGTTTGGTTCAAAGTTATTGATCCTCAGGACCTGGATGGCCCTCTTGATACTGAGATGATGGAGCACGCTCATGACCTTCAAAGACAGTAAGTCATCCTGCAAAACAAAACAAAAAGAGGCGCTCACTGAGCAGACCTAGAGCAGGAGAACCTTATCAGGGAAACCTTAGAAAACTCAATTAAAAGTAGAAGTGCACCTCTAACAATAGGCCTCAAGGGCTTGTCAGGATTTTCAAAGCTTTTTTGTAGTAACAGAACTCTTCTTCCTGGGCTGAACATAATTTTCTCTAGGACCCCAGTATACAATAGAAGGGAACCAAAATTCATGTTGTCCCAACTGAAGCTGACTTCAACCTGTTTCTCTCTCTTCCACTGAGATAAGATTGTGGGACTGCACAGCTCTGAAAAACACAGTTCGAAGAGCACTCGCTAGGCTACTACAAAAGGTGACCTGCTATGATTTGATTTGATAAAACAGATAACTGAGAGCAAGCAATGTTTACCGATGACCAAGAGCTGGTTTTCTGAGCTAAGGCACATCACAGTTTGGGGGAAAACCAGAAGAGTGCTCCTATTACACTATCCCCCCAGCCTTGAGAAATCTCTGGTTCTAGAATATTGTGCTTTATCTAGCAGACGCTGTGAACAGTTTTGGAAAAATTATATGTTAATCAATGCAAAGCTTCTGGTGAGAAGCAAGAGAGAAGAGAAATGAAGAAGTTATATGTAGCAACATATATCACCAAGTGATTCCTTTAAGGAATAACTTTCACCAGTCTGTGGCTACTGGGAACTTTTCAAACACACCAAAACAAATTATTTTAGAAGAAGGTGATTTGGGGGAGTGGGGGGCCCGTGTCAAGATAAGCACCAATCTACTTCCAAACACGCCCAGAAAATAAACAAGGAAAACATCCATTTTAGGCACACCTTACCGAGAACACATTTCTTATACAGGAAAAAAATTAACCTATTACAGAGATATTTTAAAAATAAAATTATAAAACAGTTTAAATCCTTAAGACTACTTACTGAGGAAAAATTATTTCCTGAGTTTTTTTCTAGATTAGTGTCTTAAAAACAGTGCCTGAGGATAAGTTAGAAAGGGCATTTAACATATTTTAATCTAAGATTGAGACATCCATTCAAAACATTTCCCCCGTGGGTTATGCATAATGTTTACAATGTAAATAAAATGTTCATTATTTTAGTTTAAGGGATTTTAAAAGTAGGGATTTCTTTTAAATCAAGACACACTTTTTTGAGGGGGAGATTTAAAAAAATCTTTTAAGTAATTTTAGATTTACAGAAGAGTTGCCAAAGATAGTACAGAGTCCCACAGACCCTTCATCCAGCTTCTTCTAATGTTAACACCTTATATAACCACGACATTCAGCAAAACTAAAAAATTAACACAGACAATAATAAAATTCAATTAAACCCAGGTTTTATTCATATTTCACCAGTGTTTCTACTAGGTCCTTTTTCTGACCCAGGATCCAATCCAGGATACCAATTTCGAACAGACTTTTTGTGACTTAGGATTCCGGGGTCAAATTTTCTAAGGTAATTTATTCTTTTATAGCCACAAAGGTTATACATTTGCCTTTTGTGATTTTCAGCCTTAATTTGCTCACATTCCCACAGGAACATACCCATACCTAGATAGGCAGGCAAACAGGCACAAATGCTCTATGACTTCCTACTACTTTCTAACAGTGGAAACTTGGCTAAGTTACCCAATTTCTCAATTCTTTCGTTTCCTCATCTGAAAGCTGGGGATAACAGAGTGCTGAGAACTGAGTATTAATTATGAGCAAAGTGTTTGAAAGAGTGTCTGGCACACAGTAAGTATGCAACATGCCACACGCTCGTGTTATTTTACCTTCAGTTTACATGATGTGCCCACCACGGTTCAGACTCTGGTTCAGGGATGGAGAAGAAAATGAGCTGAACCCCAAATTTCTTTGATATTGAAAAATTCCTAAATGAGTTAAGTTAGCTGTTTGAAACTTTCAACTTATTTTAAAAAGATACTTGTGGTAGTTGAATCCACAAAAGGCCGTTTAAATAAAAGCATCTTAGGCAGAACACTCCTAGTACCGTGGAGTCTAGAACAAATTCTCCCGGAACCCATCTTTCCCCACTGCCATAAAGTAGGGAAAAGTCCTTCTACCCATTGGACAGAGGCTAAAAATATGAAACAGTAATGAAGGAATGAGAGTGAAGGCCTATCTCTGCTTTACTCCAGTAAATCCAGCAGAACTGGGTTGAAGTGAGACGGGCTGGGGGTTTCAGGAAACAGTGCTCAAAAGTGGAAGGGAAGGGAAAAGAAAGTCCCAGTGGAAGACAAGTCCCAGCCTTTTGAGCGGTCACTGCTTATAGGAACATATCCCTTAGAAACTGCCAGGGCTGCAAAACTTTACATTCTCTCATTTTCAATATTTTTATGACATATAATTCACATAGCATAAACTTTACCCATTCAAAGTGTACACTTCAATGTCTATGTTATTGAATATATACAAAATCAACTTTTTGGATAACTTAGCTTCAATTAGGTTTCACGTAGCTTAAATGAGGATTTCAACATTTCCCAAGGCTATTGCAATCACCAAATCCTACAACTTCAACTTAGAAAAATATGCCTGCCCCTCTCCTCAAGTTAAAACAACCCCTTCAAACTCCAGTGGAATCACTGTGAAAACACTGTATTTTGCTTACCCTATTTCTGTGTTTTTCAGAGAAAAACAGTTTATCCCCCCCAAACCCCAGGAGTGAGTTACTTACAACAGTCATGTAATGAAGCATTCGACCATCTACCCGTCCTTCATCAAACTGGGTCTTGTATTGGGGGAGACCAATATCATCCAACCATCCTAAGGATAGAAATGAGTGTCATTAATGAGCCACAGAACAACCATTCCTGTGATGAAAAAGAGAAAACCATAATTCAAAAAGAGTCATGTACCACAATGTTCATTGCAGCTCTATTTACAATAGCCAGGACATGGAACCAACCTAAATGTCCATCCACAGATGAATGGATAAAGAAGATGTGGCACATATATACAATGGAATATTACTCAGCCATAAAAGGAAATGAAATTGAGTTATTTGTAGTGAGGTGGATGGACCTAGAGTCTGTCATACAGAGGGAAGTAAGTCAGAAAGAGAAAAACAAATACCGTCTGCTAACGCATATATATGGAATCTAAGAAAAAAAAAAAGGTACTGATGAACCTAGTTGCAGGGTAGGAATAAAGAGGTAGACATAGAGAGTGGACTTGAGGACATAGGGTGGGAGGGGGAAGCTGGGGCGAAGTGAGAGTAGCATCGACATATACACACTACCGAATGTAAAACAGTTGGCTGGTGGGAAGCAGCAGCATAGCATAGGGAGATCGGCTCGGTGCTTTGCGATGACCTAGAGGGGTGGGATAGGGAGGATGGGAGGGAGGCTCAAGAGGGAGGGGATATGGGGACATGTGTATGCATATGGCTGATTCGCTTTGTTGTGCGACAGAAACTAACACAGTAATGGGAAGCAATTATACTCCAATAAAGATCTATCAAAAAAACCAAAAAACCAAAACAAAACAACAAAAAAGAAAAAGCAGCTGTGTGTGTGTGTGTGTGTGTGTGTGTGTGTGTGTATAAAATTCATTCGTTCACTCATTCATGGATTTAAAACCTCTTACTAGTGACCCAGTTGAAATCCAGCTTTCCATGATTGGTTTCTTCTTCGGATCCCAGGGCTTGCAGTGCCAGCTGGAGTTTCTTTCGATGAAGTAAATGCTTGATTCCAAGTTCCTGAATTAATAAAAAGAAACACTGGCATTACAACTCTGTCAACATGGGCTGGATGCCACTGGCAAAGGATGCAAATTCCTCGAAAATCAAGCCAGCATTGAAGACCCAATAATTACATTAAATCAGAATACTAACCCAGGCTGTAAAATGTTGCTGAACAAAAGGCCCCTAGAAAGACCACTGCAGTTGTTTTAGTGGTATGTTGGATATTCCCCACTAGGCTCCTTCCTTTGCAAGATAGGAACTGTAGCATGCATAACAGAAATTCTACCCCTATTTTGTACTAAATGTTTTGTACTAAATGGGAAGAAATGTTAAATAGCTGTACATTAAGTGTAGGGCTCTTTTTTTCCCTTTTGCAAAGTGAAATTGAATTGCATATATTACACTGAAAAGATGGACCAATGATAAAGCCACAGAATGGTTTTGAGAAATATGAACTGAAGCTTTATTATTATGTCTATATAATTATTTTTTCATTAAAATGCCCAGTGGCTTAAGTGTTTCATAAGGAATCATTAAGACCAGGTCCTCCCTTTAAGTCCATGAGATAAAATAATCATGAAGCAGGAAACTCAGACTTTTTCTAGAATACTTACTGGCTCTACCCACTCCCCTTTTTGGAATATAAAACAAATCTACATTCATATTCCTCTCTCTCTCTCTCCATTGTGCAAACAAAATAGAGAAGCATTCACCTTCTCTAGATCTTGTTGAGAAGCCTGCAAAAGTGTCTGGCCAGATGCAATCCAGCGCTTGCCAGAGTTCAGGTAGGACCCCAAGCCCTGTTCCACAAGCCAATTGCAAACCTGTTCCTTGGTCCACTTGGCAAATGGCATATCCAAGTCACTACAGGAAAATGAACAATCGCATGAAAAACAATTAAAAGCCAATCCGCTAAGTTACCATCAGGGCTGAACAACTGCATATTCAATAGACATGGAGATTCCCTGGTGATACACATTTGACTATGGGAAGCCTAATTTTTAGTACATATTTGGTGGAGTAAGTGATACTGGAGATGAAAGCTCCCTTGTAAGACCACAGTCTTCATGTCAAACAAAACCACTAAAGATTCATCATGATTTAACATGTTTTATAGAAGAAGACTGAGTTAAACCAACAGCTCAAGTTATTATACTACTTTCAGCTAATGTTGTTTAGAGATTGAATTTACAATCAGAAAACACTAGGCCAGACTGAAAGAAACTCAAGTCTAACTTGAATTAACTTTAGTAGAATTACGGTTTCTCTCCAGATGGTATTCAATGAGAAGAGGGCAATATGCCATCACTGAGTATGAGAAAGTACAATCAAAGCAAATTTCTGCTTTCTTTTACTATTTTTTTAATTAATTAATTTTTTTCTATCAAAGTATAGTTGACTTACAATGTTGTGTTAGTTTCTTTTACTGTTTTTACAAGTAGTGTTCCTGTTTGGAAAAAAAATGTGGCGATGAACAAAGTTTTTTTTTTTAAACAGCACAAGCAAGTCCTCTACTGTGTACAAAGAGAACATATGGCAAATGAGACTGTTTGGTATTTGAAGAAGGCCAAAGAGAGTTTCCTCCTTGATGAAACTTGTGCCCAGCATTCTGCCTGGGTGGGAAGGACCATGTGTAAAAGGTTTCTAGCCCATTATCATCTTAAAAGATTTAGTATCAATGACTTGTGCTATATATTTGCCAACTCCACCCTCTTTTATGTTGAGCAAATCAACATAGCAGTTCCAAAACAGCCCTAAACTGTGATAAGGGTGTAGGAAAAGTTCTTAGAGTCTTAATAGATAAAAACATTACACAGTCCTGATAAATTGAAGAATTCGGATAGAATATATGTCTTTTAAGTGCTTTCACAGACTGTATCAATTACTAATGTTTACTGAACAGTTATTATTTGCCAGATACTTAACACACGTTAACTCATTTAATCGTCACAATCATCTTTTGGGGTAAGTACTAATTCATACTATGGGAAACAGAGGCGCAGAGCATGGAAGTAATTGCTCAAGGTCACTCAGCTTGTAGGAAGCGGTGAAGCCAGAAATCAGGTCCAAGCAGTCTGTCTCTAGAACCTATTCTTTTTTTTTTTTAAAGTAAAGTACAGCTGAGTCAGTGTTGTGTTAATTTCCAGTGTACAGCAAAGTAATTCAGGTATACATATATATCTATATATATATTACTTTTTCATATTTGTTTCCATTCTGCTTTATTACAGGCTGTTGAATATAGTTCCCTGTGCTACACAGTAGGACCTTGTTGTTTATCCATCCTATATATAATGGTTTGCATCTGCTAATCCCAAACTCCCAATCCATCCCTCCTCCTTGGCAACCACAAGTCTGTAGAACCTATTCTTAACCACTATGCTATCCCATCTTTCCAGAGCTATGCTTTAGAGTACTAATAACTGTTTTCTATGTAAAATTTAAGAGCCATTCTAGTACAGATGCTGCTGATACTTTAGCTCTGGGTCCTCACCTAGCTCACAGAGCCCTCATCTTCTGTACAGTTTTTCACCAACCACAGCCGAATTGCACTGCTCTAAAGATGATGGAGCCTTCCACAAGGCACAGCAGCAAGCAATGGATTTGACTGTCTAACCCAGGGTCAATACTAACACCACAGGTGCTCACGAGACCTTGATGCTTGGGTAGAGATGCAAAAGACCATTTGTTTGACTGTTCTTACCTGTTAGATTGTCCCAAATCTCGAGACCAACCCAATCGGGGTCCTGCAGTTGCCCTTGTCCCTCCTCTTTTGAATTCAGGCTCAGACATGTCATCTGGGTTAAATGTAGTTGATTGACTTCTCCTAAGTCTGAAAAGAAGACACAACACATTAGACCTGAGGAAGCCTTCGACTTTAATCAGAACATTTTAAACCGACGCTTACGTATGGTTAGAATAGACATTTGGATTTAAACTTTAACTGAGATTCAATGAGTTAATGAATCCCAATCTCCATCCATAAAAGGATCACAAAAGCCTTACAATTTCGTAACTATTTTCAGCCAATTTTCCACTTACTCCTACATTTGAGCCACATATAAGACAAAGCTCTGTTACTTACTTTCCAAAGAGTCTCATGATACCCCTAGATTTCTTTTTGGAATCCGGCGATGGTGGCGATATCTGGAAGGGACTGCTCCCCTGTGGATCTTTTGGCTGAGACGACACACCAGCCAGATCTAAGTGCTCAGGTGTCTCCTTCTCTGTTTCAGCTATTCCAAGAACAGGATACAAACTTGGTGAATTTTAAAATATGGAATGAACATGACTAGATGTTAACCTCCTTGGTTTAAGCAACTGTTACGAATTCTTCTGTTGGTCTATAAACCAGTGACTTACAAAGAACACCCTGCAAATATTAAAAATGGAACACAAATCTATGTTCTGCTCTACAGCCTACTCTATTGTGTACCAAGTTCATTAACTTACAAATTACAACTTCTTCGAGATTCAAAGGTGGGATAGGATTACCATATTCTTTCCTTGACTGATCTGAATTCGTAATGAAATTATACTCTATCTTGCTACAGCACTTGGTACTGTTGACTACCTCCTCCAAAACTGTCATCTCCTTTAGCTTCCTGACATGACATGCTTCTAGATCTGTCATCTGAAAGTTTCTTTGCTGTACCACTGTTTTCTCTTCTTCTTCCACTCCAAGATTCTGTCCTGGGCTCCCTCTGCACGATCTTTTGACAAGATCACGCACTCTGTGCTCAGCACGAAATGATGGCTTTGCTCATTTATAAGCAGCTGGTATCAGAATCTCTGAGCCTAATAATCTCTCTCCCCAGCTTCAGTATCTGAATGTCTGTGGATATTCCCAATTTGATGTGCCAGGGATATCTTGGACTCAACAAATCCATCCAATTTTCCTGAGAGTCTTCTCTTACATTTTTGTATTTCATATTGCATTAATACTAGTTCATTTTCTCCCTGTTATTCCAGTCCAAACTCTTTGTCATTTTCTTTTCATTCCCTCCTTTCCTTTGGCATTTACATCAAATTGTTTACCAAGTCCTGGCAATTCTTTATATAAGAAATGTATTCCTATTTATAATGTAATGTTTCAGACACTGAGAGAAGAATGAACTGGGTCTTCATAAATTTTTCACTTGATATAAATCAATGCCAGTTGATTCTGCCATAAAACAGTAACATCCAAGTCTGCTACTCTCAGACCTCCTAGCATCAACTATCCTAGTTCTTTTAGCTGTCTTTTAACAGACGATCCCACACTAGCAAACACAAGGAATGCTGTTTCCTCAATGTGAGAATGTGCACTTTTATACAGCAAAGTAAAAGTTGTACAAAAACCACAGGGACAGTGTTTCAGCAAGATCTAAAAGTTGCAGAGGCTGACTTTTCTATGAAGCAGAGCTGTGATTACAGGTTATGGTAAGCAGCATTTGCCTCTTAGCGTTGACAATGTGTTTCTTCTAAGAAAGATGCAAAAACATTTGAAAATAGTTGTCTGAAGAGATCATTTTTATTCACCCTGTGTTCATTCTGGACATTTAAGGGTACAGAGAGAAGTCACCTTTGCTGATCTACATGAATACCTCTGTGGATATCTATACAAGGTAATAGGACCTATTGGGAAAACCCAAAAGAACATTTCCATTCAAACCCTACAGCCATGACGGTTACAGGTGTCCCTGAAAATGCTGCCCAGCCCAGCTTTATTTTAAAAGCATCCTGTTTTTGTTTTTATTTTGAGGATTTTTCCCCTACTGTATTCTGCCCTTTAAAGAGGAAAACTGAGCTTCCCCTCTCCTAAAATCGCTTTGGGGGTGACTCCTCAGATATCACATAAAGTTACCTCTGCTGTCACTAAATGTCACCCGCATCTTCAAAGCAATAATGCGTCAGAAGAATGTTCCCCTAAGAGAAGTCAGTCTAAAATGAACGTCTTCAATGTCTTCCACAGACCTGTTTGGCTACAAACATTTCTTTCTGGAGGCTGGGGAAACGTTACCACGGAGAAGGAGTCGCAAGGCCCCGAGGGTTAGTGTGATGTGATATGTGCTTCGGGGTGAACGAGCTGGATTTATGACACCAGGGCACTCCTGCCCTGCACTCGGATGGCCACTGGGCACATCTAGGTCCTCGCAGAGCTGCTCGCAAGGTGCCATTAGCATGGGTTACAGCAGCGTTTAGGCTTGGAAGCAAAGGCTCTATAGAGAGTCCTTTTGAGCGGAAGGTGGAAGGAACACTCTGGAGTAGAGGACTCCGTTTTCTGATGCTGCCAGCTCACTTTCTAGAGATGACAGATGCCCAAGAGCAGGGATTAGCGCGGCTGGGAGCGAGGCGCCGGCGAAGGAGGCATGCAGGGGTACGGTACCTAAGGTGGGTGCACTGGCACTTCGCTTACGATCTTCAGAAATCCCAACAACGCACACAATCACACGCAGCCCAATGGAGAGAACACAGGGGAACGACAAAATGAGACACAGATCAAACTCCTGCTCATAAAATACACACGGTGGGAGGGAAGGCGGGCACCGCACTGTGCTTCTGACGCTACACACAGACTCCATTAGCAGTGTCAATATGGGGTTAATTTTATCCTCTTTCGGAATAGATGGGAAACTGCTTGTAATGACGTCAGACAGAATCACGGTTTTTGGTCTTTCCTCTAAGTTTACACCCAGAACAGAGAGCAGGGTGAGAAAGTCCACACTATCTTTACCTCTGAATTAAGCCCATGGAAGCATTTTTTGCTAACTTTTCCCCCAAGTCATTCACCGTCATTTCTGAGAAAGAGAAATGTACAAATAGATGAATAAGGGAAAAGATAGATCTTTTCCTCATTCTGGAAGAATTAAGGCAAAGGCATTTTGGCCACACATACCCAAGTTTGGCGCACTTGCTGTCCTCTTGTTACTTTTGATTTTAAAAAAGCCACGACCAAAGGAAGATCTGGTTTTTCGAGTGCCAAAGGGATTGTCATCCACAGAGGCATCATGTCCCGGAGCTTTGTGAGGGAGGCTCCCAAATGGGCTACTTTCTACCAGAGCTTTAGCCTGAAAGAGAAGTGATAATAAATGTGACACAGCACGAATGTGCATCATTATTAGTACATGCCCGGCACAGTACTAAATATGTTACACACATGATTTTATTTAAAAGAATAACTGAACTAACAAATTGATTACGAATGTCACATGCCTTGTTAGAAGTTAAAAAAGGTCAGTTCTGGAAGCTACTTAAGGAACAACAACAAAGACATGTTCATCACTGATCTTAATCTATGTATTTAGGGCTTTAAATATTTAGGACAGATTTAGACATTCTCAAATTTTATTTTAATTTTATTTGCCTCATAGACATGGAGATAAAATATTATGTAACTAGCAGTAGATTTCCTACTTTTCTATCATTTATGACAAAGATTTGGCTATGATATAGTTCTCAGTCTTTACAACTACATCGGTAGAAGCCCAATATAATGTAATTATTCTATAAAGTAGGCATTAGTCCCAAGCTTCTATACAAGCAGTATAAAGAGTTTCTACTCCAGTTATTTTAAATATTCCTCTCAAAGAATTAAGAATAAAATGAAAGCAAAATCAGCAACTGCTTAAAAAATATATTTTTTGAAACAGGATTCTGGGTTATATTCACATCTTGCCTGTGAGTTACCAAACATGGATCACCAGTTTCAAAGACTGTGATACGTTCAGATACGCTTAACTAAACCCACTAAAATTAAATTTTTCTTGATTGATTCAGAAGCCACTTCAGATCTTTACAATATCTCAGGATCGTTTAAGAACTTCAATTGTGATTTTTAAATACAGGCATACCTCATTTTATTGCATCTCGCTTTATTGTGCCTCGTAGATATTGTGTTTTTACAAACTGAAAGTTTGTGGCAACCCTGCATTGGTGCCATTTTTCCAAGAGCTTTTGCTCATTTTATGTCCCTATGTCACATTTTGGTAATTCTCACAATATTTCAAACTTTTTCATTATTATTATATGGAGATCTGTGACATGACTTTTGATGTTACTATTGCAAAAAGATTACAACTTGCTTAAGGCTCAGATGAGAGCGTTTTTCAGCAATAAAGCACTTTTTAATGAAGGTATGTACATTGCCTTTTTTTACACATACTGCTACCGCAGATGTAACAGACTACAGTATAGTGTAAACATAAATTTTATATGCACTGGGAAACCAAAAAATTTGTGTGACTCACTTTATTGCAACATTTATTTCATTGCAATATTTGCATTATTATGGTGGCCTGGACCTGCACCTGCAATATCTCCGAGGTATGCCTGTAGCTTATTTTTGAGCTTTTTGGTTATTTGAATTGGCAGTTATCGTAACATGGTCTCTTATACTGTTTTAGTACTATCCAAGGATTCTTTTGTTTGCATGTTCTCATTTCTTGAACATCTCTTGTCCTCTCTTTCTTTTTGAAGAAGTGGAGAGAAGGGTGAGGGGATACGGGCTTTTAAGGTGGTTGTTTTCCTCTATGTATCTACCATTCATAGTAACTAAAAATGTACAAATGCCACAATGTAGTGGTACTGTTATCTATGTCTTAATGCTGATGCCAAAATCATTTCACACCACTTATTGAATTAGCAAGACAAAAAGAACAATGGCTTGAATTACAGCTGTGTCCACTGTCTGTGTTTTGTCAGTTACATCTATATCACGACTCAAGGCACTAAGAGCCAACAGTCAAGGGACTGCATCTGGGGATAGTATGTCTACCGGACTGTGACCTGTGCAAGGTTAATGACCGAAAATCAGACGAAAGAAGAACCAGAGCCCATGCCGATGATGCGTTTAAAAATACCAGAATGTTAGCTGTAGAGGGACAGTGGCTATATAAAATAAACAGCTGGTGATCTTTCTAAGAAGGGCTTTCTGTGAAGTCTAAGGAAGGCCGGGTATGGTCATTATGATCATCAAGTAGCGTGAATGAGAGTTTGGGGCTTTGTTTTTGTTGTTTTCAATAACTTGCTGAGGTGAAAGTCATATAACATAAAAGTAACTATTTTAATATTCTTTTTCCCTTTTTTTTTTTTTTAAACCCCACATTTGTTTTTTTTTTTATTTTTGGCTGTGTTGGGTCTTCGTTTCTGTGCGAGGTCTTTCTCTAGTTGTGGCAAGCGGGGGCCACTCTTCATCGCGGTGCGCGGGCCTCTCACTATCGCGGCCTCTCTTATTGCGGAGCACAGGCTCCAGACGTGCAGGCTCAGTAGTTGTGGCTCACGGGCCTAGTTGCTCCGCGGCATGTGGGATCTTCCCAGACCAAGGCTCGAACCAGCGTCCCCTGCATTAGCAGGCAGATTCTCAACCACTGCGCCACCAGGGGAGCCCCAAAAGTAACTATTTTAAAGTGAGTAATTCTGTGGCATTTATCACATTCACAGTGTTGTGTCACCAACACCTCTATCTAGTTCCAAAACATTTCCATCATTCTAAAGTAAAACTTACTCACTAAGCAGTTTCTCCCCATTCGTCTCTCGCCAACCTCTGGCAACCATCAGTCTGTGTTCTATCTCTACGGATTTACTTATTCTAGTATTTCACATAGATGGATTCATGTCATATGTGATCTTTTGTGTTGGGCTTCATTCATTTGGCATGTTTTGCAGATTCTGAGAGTTTTGGTTTATTGGAGACATTTAAGCAGTCTTACGTATTATGTATTAAGAAGTCTACTATGTATACTAGAACTCCCAAACATTTTTACGTTGTAATCTGGACATAAAAATTACCTCTGAAGTCTTCGGAATAGACTCCTTTTCCTGTTCAAAACAACAACAGTATTTAAGATTGTTATAGGAATCCTTTATCTAGTCAGAATTTCTCACATATATATAATTCAACAAATTAAAATCAATTTACATCTATTCCTAAGGTACAAAATCTCACCTTCATTTATTTCCTACAATGTTTTATTAAAGTCTCCACTTTGGGCTTTACTTTCAATCTTTTATACTCATATTTCTTAATATTTATCATTAACTATGGTATCTAATAATTTTCCATTATTGAAACCACAAACAGGGAAAGATGAAGATTCCTAAATGTTTTCTTCTCAGGGTAACAGACAGAAAAAACACAGGACCAACCCCGTCTGATGACTCTTTCTTCAGATTGCCCAGGCTGCTAGACTTTTGCAGACTTGAAGTTCTAAAAATAACAATAATAACAATTATCATTAATAATAAGTGGCTCTGGTGTCCCTGTTTCTAAGTAGAATGCCTGGGAAAGAAACTAAGATTGTATGTGAGTGGAAACCTGGAAATAAAAGAAAATCTGGATTTAGGCGGTCACTTATGTGCTTAACTAAATTATAATGTTCAGTTCTTTTAAAAGCAGGGGTGGTTAACGGCCCTGCCAATAACTCTAAATGTTCCGCACATGTCAGAATGGCTGGAAAAACACTTAGGACTATCCTGTGATGTAAATATTTGAAAATAAACCAGTGTTTTCCATGGACTAGTGGCGTATCCGTTGCAAATACACATTCACACCAGGGACTTTTAAAATACTCGTGTACTTTTTACATATAATCCTCCTAATGAAAATACAGGACAGACGTTTTACTTTCCAATTTACAAAGGAATCAATTTTCTGAGTCTGGCAAAGCACTTCATTTGACAGTTCTAATCAAGCATCATAGAGGAATCCCTATTGTTGCCTATAATAACTCACTTACAATCCTAGTAAAGGCAGAGTGACAGTGTGAATATCTGGACAGCCTTTCTCTTTCACATAAGTAGCATTCAATTATACGGAGCTGGTGTTACTCAAAAACTGAAGGCAGGAGTATGTGGCCAGTTTAAAAACAGAGGGGAAAAAGTAACATCTTTGCTCTAAGACACAGAATAATATACTACACCAACAAAACCTTTACAAGGCATTTCTCATGTATTTATGTGTAAATAAGTTGCTAGAAATGTCGACTACCAAATACAGTAAAAGATAATGGAGAGCAAAGAAAAGATCTCATCTTGGAGTACTGCCCTGAAAATAGATTTTCCTAATGTAATACAGACATTAACTTGGATAAACTTAGCTATTAGGTCAGCTTATTAAGTTGAAAGTGCAAAAAACCACGGCAGCCTTGCCAGCCATCGCATCATTCTCTGTGATGCTTTTCTGATACACTTATATCCAGAATATAAGTCAGTACAAAAATGAAATTAAAAGCACTGAACTTCAAATGAAAACTGATGAAGAAAGGCTATGATGGCAGAAACCTGGCACGAGGTAATGGTAAAAGAGCCAGTGTTGATGTGTTGCTTTACAAACCCCTCTCCACGCCCCCCGACCCGATCATTACGGCTGCATTAGTTCATTCATGCCTCAGAGTCATTTGCTTTTAATACTAGTCATTGTTAGTGTAACAGAAGCTTCCTCTTTCCCAAGCATCAATCATATTTTTTTACATTTGATAAAATAGAACTTACGAAAGACTATCGCATAGTTGAGTTTCAACAGCAGAACCAAGGATTAGTTTCCCATCACTAAAATATTAAAGAAAAAAGGTATTTATGAGCTTCATAAAAAAAAAAGACCATACATATTCCAACTGAACAGAATTGTCAAAAACAAAAAACTATGCAAGGACAGTTATTTCTCTATTTTTTGATATTCTATTTAATTTTACTTGATCTAATTGTAAGATTAGGCAATTAATTTGGGAATATGGTCCCCCCAAATTCTATTTGCCTACAGAGGAACTACTGTATCCCTCTCCTGTCTCCTACACAGCGTCTTCCAAACAGCCTCAGGCACATACATGACTGCCTCTATTCTGCTTGCAATCCTTTGATGGCCACCTATGACCTAGGATATAAAATCCAAGTTCCCTAAAATCCCTCTCTAACCTAATCAGCACACCTCCCCAGTCCCATCTCCAGTTACTTCCTACTTCACACCATTTATTTTAATAATACAGAACTGCATGGGGTTCCCTGGTACAAGTCTTGCTGTTTCTTGCTTCTCTGGGTAAAAGATTATGTCTGAAAATAAATGCAGTGCACCCCTGCTTTTGGTGGATCTACTTTTCTGGGTATTTATATCGCAGTGTTAGATCATAAGTGACATATACTTCTCCTCAAATGAAGTCTCCGGCTTAGGAGGTAATTTCACTTTTTCAGAAGTTTCCAAGCCTTTAGATGCTGGCAATAATGAAGGGATTGAAACTTGCAAGATGCTGGTGTGGAACTGTAATATAATAATAAAAGGCCAAAAATCAATCCAACAAACAAACAAAACACAAGCCACAGAGTAACAAAAGATAAGTAAGACAATTAAGTGGTCTATTTATGGCTAAGATTTCATACACCTGTGTTTAGAACTCTATTCTTATATTTATAAAATGGTTTCAGTACATAAACACCTGTAAATGTTAATCAGAGAAAACATTCTGGAAGAAAGTAATTTTTGAACTTGCTTCTGAAGAAGACACTGAATATTGAGAATAAGACATAATAAATACCATTAAGTAAGTTAATAGTAAAATCTAACAACTTTAAGCCCTGGTTGAAATCTTGGCCTTGACACACTTGCCTAAGTGACCTTGACCTTAGGCAATCACTTAACTGCCTTAAACTTAGGCAAGTCAGTTTTCTCCTCTGTAAAATGACAATGACAATGCCTACCTTACAGGGTTGCAATGATTTTAGATGAGATTTGGTTAAAGAGCTTCGTAAACAAAGCACTATTTCCATTTTAATTTCTACCACTAGTCTAATATAGAACATTGGTCAAGCCAGTTAATTATTATTCTATATGTGAACAAGCTGACTAACTTCGATGAACAGAATTGACAAAAGGTGCAATTAAAACAAGTTATAGTAGACTTTGTGGCTACACCACTTAAACCACGTTGATTAATAGTAACAATATTATAGCAAAAACAACAAAAAAAATAATACATTTCCCCCCAGAAATGCTTTGTATATCCTAAAGATGGATTAGTCAAAGGATTTCTAAACACTGGTTTTCAGTAATTTCTGACAACCAGAGAGGAGTGAGATTGTGAGCCACTCCACGAAGCAATAAATGAAACACTTCAAAAAATATTCCAGTAAAAAAATGAGTGAACTCACTTCTGCAAGTCAACCAATCTGAGATAGCTCTTGGCTTCTGCGAGTCAGCTAGTCAGGTAGGGACTCACACCAGGAACACACTTCTGAGTGCCAACCAGTCAACAACAGTCTCGCCTTCACAACCACACACAGCTGACGTCAACTCACTCCTGCCTCTGAAAGCCCAACCCCTGAGCTCCTAGCAACCTAAAAACCCTCCATATGATCCACTCAAAGAGAATGTCCTTGACCAGCAAAGTTCACTTTCTTAAATAAGCAATAAATTCAGCTTTGTGATTTTTGTTTCAGTTACTGAGTGGTATTCTCGCCCTGTGATACTATCAAAGGTTATAAAATGTGCAGAGTCTGTTAAAGTAACCAGACTGGGCACAAGATGGAGTCACTCATGCTAAGCCCCATGTTAGCAAGCCTGAAAATAACTAAATTTTCTCTGCTTGGCTCTCCCAGAAAAGGAAGGCCTAGGTCAACCAGTCAGCACTTCCTGCTCAGCACAAGTTACCTGGCTGGGCCCCAACACCTCTCTTTGCTCCATGTAAGGAAATAACCCTGCTTTAACCAATCAGCAAATGCCAAGTAAGACTTCGCTGTTCCTGCTCCCTTCCACCTACAAAAGTCAAGGGGATGCTGCTGGATTCATGAATCGCTGAATAAAGCCAACAAGATCTTTAAAATTTACTCAGTTGAATTTTGTTCCTTAACAAGTTGTATTATTATAAAATAGGAGATTACTTCACTATCAATTTTTCAGTTTGAATCTTTACGATTCATCCCGGGCAATCTATTTAGGCACCATCCCCGTTTCCTGAAGTGCGTGTACTTCCTTGGGTTCCTAATCACAGGGAAAAATAGCTACACTAGCAGACTGACCCATTCTCTTCATTTCCTTTCAAACTTTAGGGCTTTCACTTCATGCTCAAATCACCATCCTGGCTTTTCTTTTAAAACGTGGCTGAACACCCTCAGTCCTCCTCAAATCATTCTTATTCCAAACTAAAAATCTGTGATTAAACTACAATTCACAAAGCAAAGACTTCTTTTGGTAAGGATATGAGATTATCTAGGTGTATCCTATGTAAAAGCAGCCTCTTTCTATAAATGTAGCACATGCCTTGGCTACCATACATTATTTTTTTCTTTCAGTATAAATATTTAACAATTAGGGGGATTTTTGATGGTGAGCCACAGCCACCCCCTGCCTCTGCAGGAGACCCTCCAACGCTAGCAGATAAAGAAACAGAAGCCAAAGACCTGGTTAGCAGGAAAGTCAGCACTGGAACTGAGAACTTTTGACTGCAGATACCACCCGCACACTTCCAAGTCTTTTGTCTCTCTCAAGGCCCAGCCCTGTCTTCTGAAGAGAGACCGTGCGGCTGACAGGGTCTTGGTGCTCTGGCCGGGTGTCAGGCCTGAGCCTCTGAGGTGGGAGAGCCGAGTTCAGGACACTGGCCCCATGTAATACCAAGCAGCAAAAACTCTCCCAGAGATCTCCATCTCAACACGAAGACCCAGCTCCACTCAACAGCCAGCAAGCAACAGTGCTGGACACCCCATGCCAAACAACTAGCAAGACAGGAACACAACCCCACCCATTAGCAGAGAGGCTGCCTAAAATCATAATAAGTTCAGAGACACTCCAAAACACACCATCAGACGTGGGCCTGCCCACCAGAAAGAAAAGATCCAGCCTCATCCACCAGAACACAGGCACCAGTCCCCTCCACCAGGAAGCCTACACAACCCACTGAACCAACCTTACCCACTGGGAGCAGACATCAAAAACAATGGGAACTACGAACATGCAGCCTGTGAAACGGAGACCCCAAACACAGTAAGTTAAGCAAAATGAGAAGACAGAGAAATACGCAGCAGATGAAGGAGCAAGGTAAAAACTCACCAGACCAAACAAATGAAGAGGAAGTAGGCAGTCTACCTGAAAAAGAATTCAGAATAATGATAGTAAAGATGATCCAAAATCTTGGAAATAGAATGGAGAAAATACAAGAAACGTTTAACAAGGACCTAGAAGAACTAAAGAGCAAAGAAGCAATGATGAACAACACAATAAATGAAATTAAAAATTCTTTAAAAGGAATCAATAGCAGAATAACTGAGGCAGAAGAATGGATAAGTGACCTGGAAGATAAAATAGTGGAAATAACTACCACAGAGCAGAATAAAGAAAACAGAAAGAAAAGAATTGAGGACAATCTCAGAGACCTCTGGGATAACATTAAATGCACCAACATTTGAAATATAGGGGTCCCAGAAGAAGAAGAGAAAAAAAAAGGGACTGAGAAAATATCTGAAGAGATTATAGTTGAAAACGTCCCTAATATGGGTAAAGAAATAGTCAATCAAGTCCAGGAAGCTCAGAGTACCATACAGGATAAATCCAAGGAGAAAAATGCCAAGACACATATTAATCAAACTACCAAAAATTAAATATAAAGAAAAAATACTAAAAGCAGCAAGGGAAAAGCAACAATTAACACACAAGGGAATCCCCATAAGGTTAGCAGCTGACCTTTCAGCAGAAACTCTGCAAGCCAGAAGGGACTGGCAGGACATATTTAAAGTGATGAAAGGGAAAAACCTACAACTAAGACTACTGTACCCAGCAAGGACCTCATTCAGATTCGACGGAGAAATCAAAACCTTTACAGATAAGCAAAAGCTAACATGATTCAGCACCACCAAACCAGCTCTACAACAAATGCTAAAGGAACTTCCCTAGGCAGGAAACACAAGAGAAGGAAAAGCTTTACAATAACAAACCCCAAACAATTAAGAAAATGGTAATAGGAACATACATATCGATAACTACCTTAAATGTAAATGGATTAAATGCTCCAACCAAAAGACATAGACTGGCTGAATGGATACAAAAACAAGACCCGTACATATGCTATCTACAAGAGACCCACTTCAGAGCTAGGGACACATACAGACTGAAAGTGAGGGGATGGAAAACAGAAATTCCATGCAAATGGAAATCAAAAGAAAGCTGGAGTGCCAATTCTCATATCAGACAAAATAGACATTAAAATAAAGACTATTACAAGAGACAAAGAAGGACACTACATAATGATCAAGGGATCAATCCAAGAAGAAGAGATAACAATTGTAAATATTTATGCACCCAACATAGGAAGCACCTCAATACGTAAGGCAAATGCTAACAGCCATAAAAGGGGAAATTGACAGTAACACATTCACAGTAGGGAACTTTAACACCCCACTTTCACCAAATGACAGGTCATCCAGACAGAAAATAAATAAGGAAATACAAGCTTTAAATGATACATTAAACAAGATGGACTTAACTGATATTTATACGATAATCCATCCAAAACCAGCAGATTACACTTTCTTCTCAAGTGCTCATGGAACATTCTCAAGGCTAGATCATATCTTGGATCACAAATCAAGGCTTGGTAAATTTAAGAAAATTGAAATCATATCAAGTATCTTTTCCGATCACAATGCCATGAGACTAGATATCAATTACAGGAAAAAATCTGTAAAAAATACAAATACATGGAGGCTAAACAATACACTACTAAATAATCACTGAAGAAATCAAAGAGGAAATCAAAAAATATCTAGAAACAAATGACAATAAAAACATGACAACCCAAAACCTGTGGGATGCAGCAAAAGCAGTTCTAAGAGGGAAGTTTATAGCAAAACAATCCTACCTCAAGAAACAAGAAACAACTCAAATAAAAAACCTAACCTTACACCTAAAGCAATTAGAGAAAGAAGAACCAAAAAAATCCCAAAGTTAGCAGAAGGAAAGAAATCATAAAGATCAGATCAGAAATAAATGAAAAGAAATGAAGGAAATGATAGCAAAGATCAATAAAACTAAAAGCTGGTTCTTCTCAAAGAACCAG